GGCTTTGGAGCCTGTCCTGGCACTAGCTCTTGTAGACCAGGCTGGCCTCGAGCTCACAGAGATCCGCCTGCCTCTGCCTCCCGAGTGCTGGGATTAAAGGCGTGCACCACCACCGCCCTGCAAACATTTATAATTAATATGAACCTCTGAGTGATTATTTTAAAAACAGCTGCAGAATGGGCAGGACAGAAAAAAGCCTTCGTTTACAGTCCTCAAAGGATGTTCCCAGGTTCTTCTCATCTTTAGAGTGGGGGAGGGGAACCACTTTCACTGAGGGTCAGAATCCTCAGGGGACAGACCTGAGAAAAAGACAGCCACCCAGAGAGGAGCCCTGGCTGATGCCCAGGCTGACTGAGACAAAAGCCACTGCTGCAGGAGCCAGCAGCAAGGCGCCTAAAACCCAGCCAACTGGGACCAGCACACGCTGAGCAACAACATCCCAGTGACCTCTCCACATACTTGGCTCCAGGGCCCGAGACATGGCACAGACTGCTCTCCTAGAAGCACCCACGTTCTGCTTCCAGCACACACATCGGGCAGCTCACAAGCACCTGTAACTGCAGCTTCGGGAATCCAGCTTCTAGGGTCTCTAAGAGCACAGGCACTCCCGAGCTCATGCCTCATGCCGTTTTTAAAGATTTATCTATTTTTAGTTTCTATGCATGGGTGATTGTCTATATATATATATGCCCGTGCACCAACTGTGTGCCTGGTGCCTTCTAGAGCCAGGAGAGGATGTTAGACCCCCTGGGACTGGAGTTACAGATGGTTGTGAGCCACCAAGTGGTTGCTAGGAACTGAACCTGGGTCTTCTGCAGGAGCGGCCAGTGCTCTCAACCACTGAGTCATCTCTCCAGTTCCCAAGCATAAAAATTCTGAGAAAACAAGTGGTTGAGGGCCTGGAGGTGTCATTCAATGGTAGAGTGCTTGGGATGCACAAGGTTGGACACCAAGTTCCTACAAACAACATTGAACAAACAAGAAGCGAAAGGCAGAGGCCAGAGCTCTTCTGAGGAATTCTGAGCAATGTCCACACGTGTTCCTCTCAGAGCAGGTTGTCCGGTGGAGAAACCCGCGAAATGCCATGTTAGCAGCTAATTTAGAGAGGGACAGACTAGCAAGATGACTCAGCAGGTAAAGGTACTTGCCACCAAGCCTGGTGCCCTGAGTCCCGTGCCCAGAATCCACATGGTGGGGGGAGAGAGCTGACTCCCACAAGATGTAGTCTCTCTCTCTCTCTCTCTCTCTCTCTCTCTCTCTCTCTCTCTCTCACACACACACACACACACACACACACACACACAGAAAGAGAGAGAGAGCTCTTGTCCCCTGTGTATTCTAGGGGCAGTCACTTGAACCTCACCGAGCCTCAGTTTTTCCATCTGTGAGAAGGCTACAGTGCCATTTCTCAGGCCTCGGTAACAGTGAGTGCTTGCCAAATCTCCCGTGGCATTTGAGAGAGCTGGCATGAAGGACGAAACAGCCCAGCCAGCGGAAGGAATCTGTGGTCATACCCTCCTCCCTCCCCCACCCGTGTCCATCAGCCCGTCATTCAATCGCTGCTAAAAGCAATTTCAAGGGCCTTTCAGACCCTCTTGGTCAGCTTGATTTTGTTAGCTTTCTGCGACCCAGAGGGCACACTCTCTAGAACACAATGTTCGTATCAGCGCCTCTAACCACAAACCCCAAGAGTCTGAACACTGAGACACTCAGGAAGTCTAAGGGTCCTCTCGTCTTCAGAGGCCCCGCCCGGCACACATAGCATGGGAATTGCATGCATCAAAGGCAGGAAGTCCCTGACAAGCCTGTCCCATAAGCCACCAGACACTGGTTACCTTCATGTGGCTGAGCAAGAGGTCGTTCTCAGGGTGGGGCGAGGTGGTCTGGGGCCTTCGCAGCCAGGGTGGAGCCCAAGTCTGGGGAACTAGACCTGAGGAGCCAGGCCTGAGCTCTCCACCCCAGAAAGCCTGGCTCCCAGTGAGGCTCAGAGTTTGGGTCACGGCTCCCTCGTGGGATAAGTGGTATTTGAATTCCTGTTTCCTTTCCTGCTTTTCTTCTTTCCTATACATTCCTCCAAGGAAACATTAAGTCTGTACTGCAAATCCTAAGGATAAGATCCTAGAGAAACATCGAGAAGCGTGGGTGGCCTTCCCCGAAGATCCCATTCATCAAAGGGCTGGAGAGTCCTGGCTCGCTCAGTGGCCCAGGGTGCCAGCTCCCTATCCTGGAGAGAGGGGGACGGTAAAGGAAGTTGGGTGGCACACGGAAGGGCTAGCCTGGCAGGTCACAGAAGCCTGACATAGCCTGTTAGAGATGTCCTTGCAGCCGCTGGCCCCAAAGGAGAGGATTGTTGGGGGCCAAAGAAAGTTTTGGGGGGAAGAGGAGGGAGAGTAAAACCCCATGGAGCCCCTGTAGCCTCCTGACTGCAGCTGTATTTTACAAACCCCTAAAGTGGCACAGGGCATGCTTAAAGGGGCAGCAGAGTAGAAAGTGAAAGTAAAGGACTTGATGGGGGAAGGGAGGGGGAGGGACAGGGGGACAGGGGGACAGTGGAGCAGAGGGAGATGGCCTGCCAGCTCCTGTTGGCCAGGCCAGGTTGTGGGCTACCAAACCCTTCAGCATGGCTAAGATAGGATGTTCCCTTGCATGCTCGCGACCTTCCACAGCAAAGGAAGCCCACAGCCCACCCTAGCTCATCACTGTACACCAGAGCTTCCGTTTACGAGCTGGGGATAGCGCTCAGGTCTGCAAGAGTCGCTAGTTAGTGCTCTAACCACTGGGCTATCTCTCCAGCCCCGACATATAAATTTTTTTTTTTTTTTGTTTTTGTTTTTTCCGACATATAAATTTGTTGTGGGTTTGGTTTGGGTTTTCAAGACAGGGTTTTTCTGTGTAGCCCTGCTGTCCTGGAACTCACTACGTAGATGAGGCTGAGGTCTACTCACCTCTGCCTCTTGGGTGCTTGGCCCAACCACCTGGTCAACGTGCAAGGTTTTTTTGGGGGGGGAGGGGGTTGGTTTTTTTGAGGCAGGGTTTCTCTGTGTAACAGTTCTAGCTGTCCTGGAACTGACTCTTGTAGACCAGGCTGGCCTTGAACTCACAGAGATCCACCTGCCTCTGCCTCCTGAGTGCTGGGACTAAAGGCGTGCGCCACCCCACCACTGCTCACCAGCCATTGCCACACAGAACCACAGGCTGCGTGCCCTGGGCCACGTGTGACCATAACTGGTGTTTTTCTTTCTTTTTTGTTTTTTTATTTGCATCTTTACAAGAGTGCGGTGTGTGTGTGTCGCTATCTGCACATCTAGAATCCAGATGATAATCTCATCTTTCATCCCTCAGGCATTGTCTACTTTGTTTTTTTTTTTTTTTTAAGACAGGATCTCTCACTGTCCTAGAACAGAGTGGCCCTGGCTAGCCAGACAGCAAGCCCCAGGCTGGTCCCTGCCTCCTGTCCCTAAGATAGCACTCGGTCTCCCCCTCCCCCACTCCTCCCCTCCCTGCCCCACTGTGTTTATGAATGGTTTCTGAGGCTCAAACTCAAGACCTCAGCCTTGTAAGGCAAGCACCCTACCCACTGAGCTACTGAGCTGCTATCCAGCCCTTCCTTTTTGGACTGGGTCTAAGGTAGTCCAGGCTCACTGAAGAGATAAAGGTGACCTTGAACTCCCCCCCCTTCCACCCCTACAGGCTAGCATTACAGGTATGTGCACCCACACCCAGATTTTTGCCTATAATTTTCAAAATTATTGTGCAGTTGGGTATGGTAGCATATACCTATGGTTTTAGCACTGTAGAGGCTGAGGCTGAAGGATTGTGAGTTGGGGGCCAACCTTGACTAAAAGACCCTATCTCGTAGGGCTAAAAAGTCATGTAAAATAATGTTTAAGAAGTCTGGAGATGGCTCAGTGTTTAAGAGCACTGACTGTTTTGTCAGAGGACCGAGATTCAGTACCCAGCGTCAACATGGTAGTTCATAACTGTAACTCCACTTCCAGGGGACCTGATGCTCTCTTCTGGCCTCCATGGGCTCTGGCACTCACATGGTACACAGACACACAAGCAGACAATAGCACCCATAAACATAAAATAAATAATTTTTTTTTCAAGACAGTGTTTCTCTGAGTAATAGCCCTGGCTGTCCTGGAACTAGCTCTTGTACTCACAAAGATCTGCCTGCCTCTGCCTCCCAAGTGCTGGAATTAAAGGTGTGTGCCACAATGGCCCAGCCAAAATAATGTTTTAAGAAATAAAGTGAGGGGTTGGAGAGATGGCTCCAGAGGTTAAGAACACTGACTGCTCTTCTAGAGGTCCTGAGTTTCAATTCCCAGCAACCACATGGTGGCTCGCGGCCATCTATGGTGAGGCCATCTGGCACTCAAGCATACGTGGAAGGAATGTTGTGTACAAAATAAATAAATCTTAAAAAAAAAAAAAAAGAGTACTTACTGGCTGCTCTTGTACATGGCCCTGGGTTCAATTCCCAGCACCTGCATGGCAGCTCACAATTGTCTCTGCTGGCACACACCTGTAATCCCAACGCTTTGGAGGTGGAAGCAGGAGGATCAAAAGTTCAAGGTCATCCTTGGTTATATAAAGAGTTTGAAGCCAGCCTGGGCTTCATAACACCTTGTCATTAAATAATAATAATAATAATAAAGGATTAGGGGGTGCTGTCAAGGCCAAGAAAATTAGAACTATCTCTCTCTCCCCTTTAAAGATAATAAAATAGCTGGACAGTGGTGGTGCACACCTTTAATCCCAGCACTCGGGAGGCAGAGACAGGAGGATCTCTGTGTGAGTTCGAGGCCAGCCTGGTCTACAGAATGAGTTCCGGACAGACTCCAAAAGCTGTACAAGATGCAGTTCTGATGTGGGAGTGTCATATATCAATCTATTGATTTCATTGGTTAAGTTATAATAAACCAGCTGCTTGGCCTCATGGCTTGGAACATAGATGGGAGGAGTAAACAGAATAGAATTCTGGGCAGAAAAGGAAGTGAGGTCAGACTCTGCTCTGCTCCCGGAGAGAAGCCATGCTCAGCTCTCCCGGGTAGACGCGATAGCTCTGCTCTCTGAGGCACACGCGATGAAGATAGATGTAGGCTAGAATCTTCCCGGTAAGCGCACCTTGGGGTGCTTACACACATTATTAGAAATGGGCTAGTCCAGGTGCGAGAATTAGCCTGTAAGGGCTAGAGTTCATGGGCCAAGCAGTTCTTTAAATGAATACAGTTTGTGTGTTGTTATTTCGGGCGTGAGCTAGCCAAGTGGCCGGGGTGTTGGGGACGCAGCCCCGCCACCGCTCCTATTTCAACACAGTTCCCTAGTACCACTTTGAGGACTTCAGCCAAATATTTGCAGGGCTGGGGATGTAGGTCAGTGGGTAGAGTGCTTGCCTGTCATGCATGGGGTGCTGGGCTGATCCCCAGCACTGCACCAACCAGGAGTGGTGGCACTTGGGAGTAGAAGCCAGAGGATCAGAAGTTCAAGGAAAACAAACTTGAGGCCATCCTGGAGTACATAAGGCCCTGTCCCAATAGTCCACCCCCCTTAGCCACCACTGGGTAATTCAGACAGCACTAACTCTAGCCAGTGAACACAGTGTGGGGTTTTTGTTGTTGTTGTTGTTATTTTTTTGTTTTTGGTGGTGGGGGGTGTCGCTTCTTTGTTTGTTGTTGTTTTTCTTGTTTGGAGTTTTTGGGGGATTTTGTTTTATTTTTGAGACAGGGTTTTCCTGTGTAGTCCTGGCTGTCCCGGAACTCGATCTGCAGACCAGGCTGGCCTTGAACTCAGAGATCTACCTGCCTCTGCCTCCTGAGTGCTGGGATTAAAGATGTGCATTGCCACCACCCAGCTAGATACATCGTTTTTGTTTCGTTTTGGTCAAAGTTTTACCCAGCTCATGCTGATCTCTAATTCACTATGCTGCCAAAGATGTCCCTACCTGTATCTCCTGAGTACAGGGGCACACTACAACACTGTTTTACACGATGCTGGAAGACTGAACCCAGTCCCTCGCAAGCACTCCACCAGCTAAACCATTCCCAGGCCTAGGACTCGAACTTCTCAAGTCAGCTCTACCCAGTCAAGACAAGAGGTCGGAAAGAGGTAAGGTATAGGAAACCGATGAGGGCCACTCAGATAGCAGCTGTGACCTGAGGATGACCCGTCACCACTGCTCAGTCTGGAGCACCACAGCTCTCTCCTCTGGCTTGAACAAAGGACACTGGCAATGACTAATGTTTTAGGATTCAACAGAAAGTGGCAGAATGTACATTACCATGCAACAATGTAACGTGAGCCTCAGTGGTCCCTCTCACCAAGTTATGCATCTTCAGGGGGTTGAGGGAAGCTTGTCTGCTGAAAGACAAGTGTCTCCTTGGGTTTCACTTCTCACCCTTCCCAGTGCCCCCCCCCCCAACTGTGTCACTGCGTGGAGAGACTGTGCAACCAAAACAAAGGGGGCTTTTTGCCTCTGGACCCCAGGAGTAAAAATACAGTACCCACAAGAGACAGGAGAGGAAATTTACAAGGCTCATTCCCTTTTCCCATCCCAGCAAAGTCCCCACAGTTTAGGCTCATTTCTTAACTAAATGGCTCTCCCTACAGAGCCTTCTCCACGCCTAGATCCCAGTGAGAGCCCTTCCTCACTCTTCCCAGTCTGTGGGTGGGAGGGGCTCCCTGATGTTACTAACCCTGGGATACTCTACCATGGTCCACACCCTTGTAACTGAGCCTTTTATAATCCCAGAGCCCCCATTTGAGCCCCATCTGTTCCCTGGGAGGGTCTTAACACGTGACTCTACAGTCATTGTGCTAAGTGAAACAAACCAGACACAAAGGCCATGTCTAGGAGTTCACGTGTGTATATAAAACATCCAGGTAGATAAATCTACGGGAAGAGCAGTAGAGAGGGAATGATTGACTGTGGCTGGGGAGGAGGGGGGCACAAGTGACTTCTAATGGGTACAGAGTCTGTGTGTTTGAGTATGTACATATTCACATGCATAGTCACATATACACATATGCATATGAAGGCCAGAGGTCAACATTGTGTGTCTTCCTCTATTTCTTTCATATATGACACACGTGTGTGGGCGTCCACAGAGGCCAGAAGAGGGTGTCGAAGCTTCTGGAGTTATAGATGGTTATGAGCTATCTGATGTGGATACTGGAATGTAAACCCGGGTCCTCTGCAAGAGCAGCAAGCGTTCTTAACCACTGAGCCATCTCTCCAGCCTCCCACTTCATTTTGGAATAGGGTCTCTCGCTGAACCTGGAGCTCTCCATTTTGACTAGATTGGCTGGCTCGTGAGCATTCTTCCCACTGAACCGTCTCCCTTGCCCCACAGTTTCTTGGCCGTGACTAAACGCTCTGAACTTACATGGTCATGGTAGCTGCAAAACTGCGAATTTACTGAAGGTATGTATGACATATATGCTCCTACGGGGTCTACTTTGTGATCCGTGAATTAAATATCTCAATTCAAAAACCTTGAAGAGCCAAGTTGTGATGGTGCGCGCTTTTAATCCTACCACCCAGGAGGAAGCAGATAGATCTCTGAAGTCAAGGCCAGCCTGGTCTACAAAGCAAGTTCCAGGACAGCCAGGACTGTTACACAGAGAAACCCTGTCTTGAAAAACCAAAATGGATAAATAAAAGCTTGAAGAGCCTGCATTAGAGTTTGTGGCCTGCTCTGCCCCTCCTCACCCCTTCTCCATGACTCAGCCATGGGAGGAGATTCAGGGCAGCATCGTAGGGAGCCTGGAAGCTAAACCGTGCTCCTCCCACAAAGACACGAAGGAAATGAGGCCGGAGTCCTGTGTTGGAAACCCAGTTTTTATAGGCTGCAGGTCAGTCATCCAAGGTGTCAACACCTCTTCCTGGAACCAAGCAAACTGGAGGAAAGAAATGACCTCTAAGCAAATGACGGCTTATAATGGCAGTATCTCACGGTGACAAGAGGAACATGACAGAAATACGCTGGGAGCACAATGGTCCTTGCAATCACAGATGGCACTAGGGAAGCCGGGGACTTTAAACACTGAGCGTTGTCTTTTCAAGGGAAGAGTTATCTGTCTTCTGCCCAGAAGCCTGGGACTGGAGGTAGCTAACAACCAAAGTGATCTTCGCACTATCTGCAGGGCCAGGCCATACCTGTCCCCACCATCCCCATTTCCCAACCCCCCACCCCACCCCCACGCTCCCACAACCAGGACTGGATGGAAGTGGCTAAAAGTCCAGATAACCTCTGAGCTAGCTGCAGGACAGAGACCACACCAGATCCTCCTGCTTAAGATAACACGCGTTTTCCTAGCCTATCATTAGAACCCATCTTTGTGGAAGAGGTGGCGCCCTTTGAGAAGAGTTCCAATGTAATTGCGCCTCCTTGTGCCCAGGGGATTGTGTTACACCAGGAAACTGTTTTCCAAATTGTGCTGTACTTAAATATGCCTACAATAAACCGCCTGGAGTCAGACTCTGGGAGTTTGATCCAGCCCCAGCTACTGAGGTCAGGCTGAACCAGGCTTCCTTCTTGCCCCACGTGGATCACTAACTCTGCTGGCCATGGCATGCAGAGACCGCCCCCACAGAAATAGACTTAATCAGATGGAGAGCCAATGAGACCAAAAATGAACAGGGGCAAACAAGGACCAGGAAAGGTGCTTACACTCTACTGACAAGTGAATCAGGATAGCCTCTAGGATAGCACTTCTCAACCTGTGGGTCACGACCCCTTTGGGAGTCAAACAACCCTTTCACGGGGGTCATCTAAGACCATCGGAAAACACAGAGATTTACATCACAATTCACTGCAGTAATGAAGTATCAACAAAAATAATTTTATAGTTGGAGGTCACCACAACATGAGAAACTGTGTTAAAGGGTCGCAGTGTTAGGAAGGTTGAGAGCCACTGCTCTAGGACATTGATGGGAAGCTTTTCTGAGAAGATGCTGTTGGTCCTGGGATATGACAGAGGCAAGGATGGAGAGTAAGATACATCCTCGGAGCCCGGCGGTGGTGGCACACGCTTTTAATTCCAGCACTGGGGGGGGGGGGGCAGAGGCAGGCGGATCTCTGTGAGTTCGAGGCCAGCCTGGTCTACAAGAGCTAGTTCCAGGACAGGCTCCAGAGCTACAGAGAGACCCTGTCTCAAAAAAACAAAAACAAACAAACAAAAAAAGATACATTCTTGGGCAGATGCCACCACACACAAACATCCAAACATAGGAATAAGCTTCTCTCTCTCTTTCTCGTGTGTGTGTGTGTGTGTGTGTGTGTGTGTGTGCATGTGTGAACATGAGTGCAATGCCTGAAGAGTCCTGAAGGGCATCAGATTCACTGGAGCTGGAGCTGCAGGGTAGCTGCTAATAGCCTGACCTGGGTGTTGGAAACAAAACTCAAGTCAGGTCCTCTGCAAGAACAGTATTTGTTCTTAACTCAGAAGGGATTAACTTGTCCCTGCAGCCCCAAACCTGTTTTTGTTTGTTTGTTTATATGTTTTCTTTTCAAATAATTTTTTACATTGATTTGTTTGGTGTGTGTGCGCACATGCACGCACATGCGTATCCACACAAGCCACAGTGCACACGTGGAGGTCAGAGGACAGCTTGTGGGAGTCAGTTCTCTCCTTCCACCAAGTGGGTCCTGGAAACTGAGCTCAGTTCATCAGGCTCGACAGCGATCTTTACCTGCTGAGCCATCTTGCCAGCCTTTTTGGTGTTTTTATTGAGACAGGCTTTCATGTAGCCCAGGGAGGCTGAGAACTCATTTTGCAGCAGAGGATGGCCTTGAACTCTTGATCTTTCTACCTCTGCCTCCCCAGTGCAGGAATTACAGGCCTGTTCTACATGCCCAGGTTTATACAGTCCTAGGTATTGAACCTGGGCCTCAAATTTAGGAAGCAGGCATTCTAGCTGAACCTCATCCACAGCCATGGCCCGGCTTAGTTGGTTTGAACACTACCAAGGAAGTTTGTGTGGCTGTGTAAGAACTACTGAGGATGGGAGGGAGGAGATTTAGTCCAGGAAGAGGCATCCAGTCTACTGTCTGAATTAGGCATTGCTACAAGGGGGAAAATGGGACGTCCATGGGAGATTCCAATCAAGGGAGCAGAGCTCAGCTTTGTATTAAGAAGCCCACTGTGACCGTGCAGAGCTTGGGGCAGAGGAGCAAGAACGAAGGCTGGAAGGCACAACGTATTTGTCCAAGAACAGAAAACCAGCAGAGAAGCAGTCAGCGTTCAATGGAGTGGCCTCAAACTAGTTTTCAGTTCCCGGGTGCCATCTGCGGTTGTTGTGGTGGGTCTGCATGTGCTTGGCATGCAGATATTTTAAAAGATAGCTGATCGTTTAGAACACATGTACACTGCCAGTGGGCATGCCAGATGGTACAGGCACTCTGGCTCCCAATGGGAAGGCAAGAATTACCATACAGGTCCAGCAAGTCTGCAGCTGGAAAACTGAAAAGAAAGGGTGAATTCTAGCCATAAACAAAGGACATTAAGCCTATATAGTTCATGATCCTAGAGAAGCTAAGTAATAAGGTGAACCCAAAGAAAAACATATATAGATCCTCCTGGAAATTTGAAGCAGACAAGGTCGCCAGGCAAAAGTTGGGAGCATGGGGGTGGCGATGAGGTAGAGGGAAGGGGAGGGGGAATAGAGAGGGGAGAAGGGGAGGGTTGGGGAGAGCTTGAGGGAATGGGATGGTTGAGATGGAGGAAGAATGGACATGGGAGTAGGGAAGGAGATATCTTAATTGAGGGAGCCATTTTGGGGTTGGCAAGAGGCTTGGCTCTTGAGGAGTTACCAGGAGTCCATGGGGATGACCCCAGCTAGGACCCTGGGCAATGGAGGAGAGGGTGCCTGAACTGGCCTTATCCCGTAGTCAGACTGATGACTATCTTGAATATCACCATAGAACCTTCATCCAGCAACAGATGGAGACAGAGACCCACATCGGAGCATTGGACTGAGCTCCCAAGGTCCACTGAAGAGCAGAAGGAGGGAGAATATGAACAAGGAAGTCAGGACCACAAGGGGTTGGTTCACCCACTTAGACAGTGTGCCTGAGCTAATGGGAGCTCACTATCTCCAGCTGGACTGGGAATGAACAAGCAAGGGATCAAACTGGACCCTCTGAATGTGGTTGACAATTGGGGCAGACTGAGGAGTCAATGATAATGGCACTGGGATTTGTCTCTACTGCATGTACTGGCATTTTGGGATCCTAGTCTATTTGGATGCATACCTTCCTAAGCCTGGATGTAGAGGGGTAGAGGGAAGGGGCTTGGACTTCCCACAGGGCAGGGTGCCTTGCCCTCTCTTAGGACAGGGGGGGGGAGGGGGAGAGCAGGAGGGAAGTGGGGAGAGGGGAGAAAGTGGGAGTTTTGATTGGTATTATTTATAAAGTAATAAAAAAGAGGAAAGAATTTAAAAAAGAAAAGAAGAGAAAGGGTGGGCAAGATGGCTCCGCAGGTAAAAATGCTTTACACGGGATCCTCAAAACCTGAGTTGGATCCCAAGACTCACATTAGAAGAGACAGATGTGATGCTCACGGTTATAACCGCGCCTACATGTGCTGAGCCGCGGCGATGGAAGGATTGGCCGTTAGCGTGTCGCTTAGCGTTGTGCGGGACAGCAGCAGAAACGACAAGAGAGACCCTGCCTCAAAAACCAGGAGGAAGCAGAAAACTGACTCCTGAAAAGTCCTCAGACCTCCACACACCTGGTGGGTCTGCAAAAACACATACTCGTACAAAATTAATTAAACAAGTTTTTCCCCAAGTAGAAAGGGCTCAGCAGGTATCTGCACGTCCTTGTCTGTGGCTGCACTCTTCCCAACAGCTGAAGGTGGAATCAACCTAAATGTCCCCCAACAGATGACTAGGTAAACCAGATGGGGGTCAAGACATGCGCTGGAATATTATTTAATTTTTTTATAAGGAGGGAGCTTTATTTGTATATATGCACGTGTGCATATGAAATGGCTGAATTATGGCGTGTGCACAGTTGTGTGTTACAGCTGTGCACATCCATGGACGTGAGGCCAGAGGAGGCCGTCGGGTGTCTTCTCCGTCACTCTCCATCTTATCATTTGTCATGTGAATGACATTTTAAAATTACTAATAAGATTTTTTTTACTTCATTTTTCTTTCCATGCCAAGTTGTCAAAATACAAAGTGTATTTTTGTTTCATTTTTTTTTTTCTAGGCAGGGTTTCTCTGTGTAATATCCCTGGCTCCGTAGACCACACTGGCCTCTGCCTCCAATTGCTGGGATTAAAGGCGTGCACCACCAACACCCCGCCCAACAGCGCTTTTTTTTTTTTTTTTTTTTTTTTTTTTTTTTTTTTTTTTTTTTTTTTTTTTTGGTTTTTCGAGACAGGGTTTCTCTGTGGCTTTGGAGCCTGTCCTGGAACTAGCTCTGTAGACCAGGCTGGTCTCGAACCCGGCTGCGCATTTTTTAAAGATTGATGCTATTATTGTTTATATGTGTCTGTGTGGGTATGTGCGCATGAGGGCAGACACCCTCAGAGGGCAGAAGAAAGCATCCGATCCCCAGGAGTTACAGTTATAGCAGCTGTGAACGTGGGTGCTGGGAACTGAACTTGAGCCCCCTGCAAGAGCAATACATACTCTTAACTCCTGAGCCTTCTCTCCACCTCCCCAAAGGGTAACTTGAACTTACAGAACGTCCAGTTTGGACCCATCGCATCTCATGTGCACACATAACTGTGACTAGTGACCTGCACACAGACACCTTCCAGGTAGAACAAGGGGCAAATTGTGGAGCCAGTGCTCCATTACCTTGCTTCCAAACCTCAGTGGAAAATGATTTAATATGTTGAATTTATCTCCTAGGCTTGGAAGGTTCTAATAAAACAGTGTTCATAGTCCACTTGCTTATGGTTTGGAGTTATTGGAAGACTTAAGTGAAATTATGTGAAATTGGGACCAGAGAGATGGCTCAGTGGTTAAGAGCATTGACTGCTCTTCCTGAGGACCCTAGTTCGATTCCCAGCACCCACGTGGCAGCTCACACCTGTCTGTAACTTCAGTTCCAGTGGATCGGACTCCCTCATACAGACATGCATGTAGACCAAACACCAATGCACATGAAATAAAAACAAACAACCTTTTAAAAAATTATGTGAGCTGGGCAGTGGTGGCACATGCCTTCAATTCCAGCACTCGGGAGGCAGAGGCAGGCAGAATTCTGTGAGTTCAAGGCCAGCCTGGTCTACAAGAGCTAGTTCCAGGACAGGAACCAAAGCTACAGAGAAACCCTGTCTCGAAAAAAATTATGTAAAACTATAGGGCTTGCACCACTGTGATATCCGCTGACTCTATTTACCAACATGGATGTAATACATTTAAAAATATGTAATGTTAAGACTGAGGCAGTAGTTTCATTGGTAGGGGGCTTGCCTAGCATGCATGAAATTCTGAATTCAGTCCCCAGTGCTGGAAAAAACTGGACATGGTGACTTATGCCTGTAACCCCA